TTCTGTGCGTGTATGTGTATGTGTGTGTGTTTGTGTGTGTGTGTGCGTGTGTGTGTGTGTGTGTGTGTGTGTGCATTCTGTCTCGCGTTTTCAATTCGGGAACTAAAAAAGCTAGGAAGCTGGAATTTTAGCAGAATATTTCCCGCCTATGTGCAACCTCGCAGATTCAAATTCAGCCTCCCTGTGTCTATATGAAAATTTTGGTGAGAAAAATGATTGTTTCGAAACTACAGGAGCTAGGAAGCTAAAATTTTAGGTTAATGTCTTCTGCTCATTTTACGATCCCACAGGTTTAAAGTTCAGCCTTCTCGGGCGCGTAGTTATCACATACGGTCCCGTAAAAGTTGTGACGAGAACTGCATACTCCGTTTCCGGTCACGTCCAATCTTGTTCAACGAATCGTCTGTTCATCCTCCTGCCCAACCGGGCAACATGAATTATTACTGTATTACTGCACACAAATATACTAAATAAATAAATTGTTTTATTAGTCTCTACTCATCTTCCCATCCACAGCGAAACGAAAGACGTGCCTACGCCGCATTGTACGCCACACCACAGTACTCTAGAAACAGTTTACCGCGAAAAACAATCAGATGAGTTTCCAGAAACGTTTTGACATTTTTTCATGTTATTATAACATTGAGGCGTTTCAAAAGAGCTAAAAATACAAACCGAAATTCAGTTCCGCATATTTTTTTGTTGATTCCATAGGGCCCCTGCTGTTGTTATTGAAATCTTTGAAATGCCGATCCTATAACTTCACAGGTAAATTTTCCATCTGTTAAAAAAAGTAAGTTTTTTGAATTTCATACTTAAAATTGTCCTTGCAATCTATCTTCTAAGACAGTAGGAATACTGTTTTGTGGTTCGGATTTGCTAGAAAATCCGACAGGTTTTCTCTCTTGCTTGAGAAGCAAGCCGGAAGCGGGAGGTAATCACTGAGAAAGATCTACTGTTATGACTCTAAATGAGGACTGTTGCTTTGACCATTTTGATGCGATAAAAAGTGACTGTGCTGAAATCTTATTACAGTGACGCAGTGAAGGCGGCCGTGCTTCACAAACCACAACAGAACATGTCTTTTTGCACATCAGTCTAGTTCCTTGCTTCCAATTCTATTATTTCGTGGCAACAAAGATAATCAATGCAGCTCACTTCGGCATTCCATTTCTAGTGTCAGAAACAAATAGAGACAAGTTGCTTACCGGACATCGTAGGTCGCCGGCTTCCGTTATATCTGGCTCTTTCTTGATGGCTGCTAACAAAGAAACAAGTACTGGTGGCAGATGCGCAGTAGCAAGCTCTAGTCGCCCACTCTTACAGCCCTTGCTGCATGCATCGATTCTCGGTGCAACGAATTCATCTCGGATCCCATAGATCCACGCGTTCCCTTGCAGTGACAGTGCTTCGGTTTCGCTGTATCATAAGTTAAGGTTTGAATAAATATTGCTTTCGTTTGTCTCAGCCAAGAACTGCCTGGGCCTACATTGCAAAGTCTCAGTAACATGGTTTCATGGTTTTGCATAAGGCGCAGACATTTCAGTACCTCTG